CGAGAAAGCACAGAACTGGAGGGAGAGAGAAAGCAGGATGCGCCAGGAAAACGCAGCGCACCTGCGGCAAAACACGGAACACCGGCAGCAAAGGACGGATCGGCTCATAAGCATCCTGGAGCGCCAAGCAGACGCTATCCAGGAGCTCGTAGCCATGCAGAAAGAGGAGCAGTACCGCAAACGCCACCCCCCCTACAGCCCTTGTCCCAAAACTCTTTCCATTGTGCCCCACTGTCACCTCCAACCCACTTTCCCCAACTTCTGTGTTCTTCATGCCACCCGCTGCCTCCAACACCAGTATCTTCACCACCCAACCCTGAAAACCACGACCCTTACCCTCTGCACTCAATCCCCATCACCATGCAGTAGAGCTATCCTGAAGTGCAGCACTCACTGCACAGCACACCAGACAGGACATACGCAAATCTGTGATTGTACCGTTCCCCACTCCACCCCCTTGTTTCTTTCCAATAAATGGATTTTTTGGCTTTGAAAACATTCTTTATTATTGCATAAAGTAAAAGACTCCTTAGCACAGGAAATAAACAGGCACTGAAAGTCTGCTTAGCAAACACTGATTCCTAAAGATTGGAATTACTGCACTTCACTCCCGTGCAGGGCACTAGATATCACTGCTGGTTTTCAGCCTCGAATTGCTCCCTCAAGGCATCCCTAATCCTTGCAGCCCCATGCTGGGCCCCTGTAATAGCCCTGCTCTCTGGCTGTGCAAATTCAGCCTCCAGGTCTTGAACCTCAGAGGTCCATGCCTGAGTGAAGCTTTCACCCTTCCCTTCACAAATATTATGGAGGGCACAGCACGCGGATATAACCGCGGGGATGCTGTTTTCGTCCAAGTCCAGCTTCCCATACAGAGATCGCCAGCGGGCCTTTAAATGGCCAAAGGCACACTCCACAGTCATTCGGCACCGGCTCAGCCTGTAGTTGAACCATTCCTTGCTGCTGTCAAGGCTCCCTGTGTAGGGTTTCATGAGTCACGGCATTAACGGATAAGCGGGATCTCCAAGGATCACAATGGGCATTTCAACTTCCCCTACTGAGATCTTCTGCTCTAGGAAAAAAGTCCCGGCCTGCATCTTCCTGAATAGCCAAGTGTTCCGAAAGATGCGTGCGTCATGCACCTTTCCGGGCCAGCCTGTGTTAATGTCAATGAAACGCCCACGATGATCCACAAGCGCCTGGAGAACCATAGAGAAATACTCCTTCCGATTAACGTACTCGGATCCTAGGTGGGGTGGTGCCAGAATAGGAATGTGCGTCCCATCTATCGCCCCTCCACAGTTAGGGAACCCCATTTGTGCAAAGCCATCCACTATTTCCTGCACATTACCCAGAGTCACGGTTCTTCTGAGTAGGATGCGATTAATGGCCTTGCAAACGTGCATCAACACGATTCCAATGGTCGACTTTCCCACTCCAAACTGGTTTGCGACCGACTGGTAGCTGTCTGGAGTTGCCAGCTTCCAGATTGCAATAGCCACCCGCTTCTCCACTGGCAGGGCAGCTCTCAATCTCGTGTCCTTGCGCCACAGGGTGGGGGCAAGCTCCTCACACAGTCCCATGAAAGTGGCTTTTCTCATCCGAAAGTTCTGCAGCCACTGCTCGTCATCCCAGACTTCCATGACGATGTGATCCCACCACTCGGTGCTTGTTTCCCGAGCCCAAAAGTGGCGTTCCATGGTGCTGAGCATGTCCATGAATGCCAAAAGCAATTTCATGTCATATGCGTTATGCGGCTCGATAGCCTTGTCGGACTCCTCACCCTCACTCTCACTGTCACTTTGGATCTTAAGGAATAGTTCGACAGCCAAACATGACGTGCTGGCAAGACTCGTCAGCATACGCCTCAGCAGTTCGGGCTCCATTTCCCACAGACAGATTGTGCTGCACAGAAACCGTTGAAAGATGGCGCCAAAGGTGGACGGAAACAAAGGGATTTCTGGGATGCGAAGCGATGCATCACGAAGCGTTGGGACAGGACCCAGAATGCCCTGCACATACGCCCCCTTCCCACAACCCACGGCGCCAGAATGGGAAGAGGTGCTCTGTGGGATAGCTGCCCATAATGCACCGCTCCCAATAGCGCTGCAATTGCCGCAAATGTGGCCACGACAGTAGGCTGGGCAGCTGTCAGTGTGGACAGACTGCAGCACTTTCCCTACTCAGCTGCACGAAGTCAGGTTTAACTCACAGCGCTGTACATCTGCAAGTGTAGCCAAGGCCTACATCTGCAAGTGTAGCCATGCCCTTAGGCTAAGGCCAGGTCTGCACTATAAAGTTAGGTTGACCCAGCTACTTCACCCACAGGTGTGAAAAATCCACACCCCCAAGCAATGCAGTTAGGCTCACCTAAGGCCTTGGCTACACTGGCGCTGTACAGCGCTGCAACTTGCTGAGCTCAGGGGTGTGAAAATGCGCCCCCCCCCGAGCGCAGTGAGTACAGCGCTGTAAAGCGCCAGTGTAATCAGAGCCTGCAGCGCTGCACGCTCGCTCACAGCGCTGCAAGCTATTCCCCTCGGAGAGGTGGAGTACTTACAGCGCTGCAAGAGAGCTCTCGCAGCGCTGGCGGCGTGACTACACTCACGCTTCACAGCGCTGCCACGGCAGTGCTGGGAAGTCCTGAGTGTAGCCAAGGCCTTAGTCCCCAAGCAGACAGCACTAGGTTGACAGTAGAATTCTTCCACTGACCTAGCTGTCACCTCTCAAGGAGGTGGATTTACTATAGCGAAGGGAGAACCCCTCCCATCATTGTATTAAGTGTCTACACTGAAGCACTACAGTAGCACAGTCTACATGGGGACTTAGGCTGGCTTAACTATGACACTCAGGCCTTGGCTACACTTGCAGCTGTACAGCGCTGTGAGGTAAACCTGTCTTCGTACAGCTGAGTAGGGAAAAGCGCTGCAGTCTGTCCACACTGACAGCTGCCAGCGCAGTGGCGTGGCCACACTTGCAACATTTGCAGCTGTGTTGGGAGCAGTGCATTATGGGCAGCTATCCCAGCATTCATGTGGCTGCAACGTGCTTTTCAAAACGGGGAGGCGGGGTGGATTGTGACAGGGAGTGTGGGGGGAGAGAGAGTGCTTTTTGGAGCATGTCAGCTCTCTATTTTGCAAGTTCTGAACTCCCGGCCCCCTGCTCATTCATTTACTCACTCAAAGCAAGCTGCAAACTGTTTGCTTTTCTCTGTGGTACAAGCTTTGAAACCGGCACTTTCGCATTCCTGCAGCCGGTCACAACAATGGAGAGGATTGGCCACTTGACAAGGCGATCAGTATAGCGCTGCAAGCGTTTACACTCACACCCGTGAGTCGTAACCACTCCACTGCAGCTGTTATTCCTCTCGGGGAGGTGGAGTACCTGCAGCGGTGTACCCAGGGAGATACAGCGCTGTAAGTGTCCTGCCAGTGTAGCCGGTCAGTGAGTTACAGCGCTGGGGGAAGGCTTTACAGCGCTGTAACTCGCAAGTGTAGCCAAGGCCTCAGAAGTGTGGATTTTTCACATCCCCGAGAAGTGTAGCTGGGTTGATCTAATTTTCTAACATGGACCAGCCCTTAGGCCATGTCTATACGTACAGCGTTGCAGCTGTACCAATACTTGGGTTCTGGGGATTAGAGAGGCTGATTCCCCCTGAAATCCAGGAAACCCGTGACGAACCCTGCACAGAAGCTTCAGAGACTCCACAGCTTCTAATACCCTAGGAGACAGGAATCCCTTACCCAGTGAGGTCACAGTCTCATAATTCTCCTGCATGTCATCCCTGTAGAGGGCTCTCTGACACAGGTCCAGCAGAGCCCACCGTTCCTCTTACACAGCCTCTTCCTCAAGCATCAGGAGCTCTGCTGCAAGCACTTCATCCCATACCCCACAGGGATGGAAAAAGGATCTGGACCGTTATTCTGCAGCCTGTCAAGGTGAGAAGGGAACTGGGGCTTTGGTCCATTTCACACTCTGATTCCCCCCCAGGTTCCTTCCCTGCACACAGATGCTCTAGACTCTGCCGTGCTGGGGAAATGATTCAATCAAGATTTTCGTAAGGAGCAACCTAAAGTTAGATCCCAAACCCACATTCAGGTCTCTCAATAAGCGGCTGGAGTTCCAAAAATGCTGAGTCTGCAGCACTGGGGTTCGGTTGTGAGTGTTCAGCACTGCTGATCATCAGGCCATTTATTCAGCAGCCTGATGGGGGATTTAGAAAATTAACATTAGGCTCCTATATTTAAAAATCCTGGTTATAGTCACTAAATTACAGCACAGACCCAGCCCCTCACACAAGGCTTAATCCACTGAAACAACAGATTCAATCAAGTCAATGGGACCACGCAGACGGCAAAGAAAAGCACACATAAGGCTACACTGCAGACCTTACAGTGGCACAGCTGTACCGCTATAGCGATGCCGCTTTAAGGTCTCCCACCAGCATAATTAAACCACCTCTAACGAGCTGCGGTAGCTATGATGGTGGGAGAGCTTCTTCCGCTGACATAGTACTATCCACACCGGTGCTTTTGTCGGTGAAACTTGTGTCAGTCCTGGGGGGGCATCCCACACATCTGATCAACAAAAGTTCTACCAACAAAAATGCTAGTGTAGAGGCTAAGGGGCTTGTCTATGTAACCCACACACCTCCTGGGTGTGGGGTTCTGTCCCATCTTTTGGCACCGAGACCACTTAGAGAGATTAATGAGTCTGCTCTACAGCCCTCGCTAACAGTTATATGGCTTTTAGCTCATGTAGTAGAGCAGAGGTAGGCAAACTACGGCCCACGGGCCACATCCAGCCCGCGGGATCCTCCTGCAGAGCCCCGGAGCTCCTGGCCTGGGAGGCTAGCCCCTGGCCCCTCCCCTGCTGTTCCGCCTCCCCCGCAGCCACAGCTCATTGCACTGGCAGCGCAACACTCTGGGCGGCAGCACAGCTGCAGAGCTGCAGCCTGACCCGGCGCGGTGGCGTGGCTGACTCCAGCCGGGCGGCACTGACTCCAGCCGGGCGGCACGGCTGCCTATCCTGGTGCTCTGGGCGGCGTGGCTGTAGCACTGCCAAACCACCAGTGCTCCAGGCAGCGTGGTACAGGGGCAGGGAGGGTTGGATAGAGGGCAGGGGAGTTTGGGGTGGTGGTCAGGGGGCAGGGGTGTGGATAGGGGGCAGGAAGGTCAGAGGGCGGGGAACAGGGGGGTTGAATGGGGGCAGGGGCAGTCAGGGGACAGGGAGGGTTGGATGGGGCAGGAGTCCCGGGGGGGCCATCAGGGGGCAAGAAGCAGGGGGGGTCGGATAGGGGGCAGAGCACAGCCTCCCCTAACCAGCCCTCCATACAATTTTGGAAACCTGATGTGGCCCTCAGGCCAAAAAGTTTGACCACCCCTGCAGTAGAGGCTCGTGCATTTAGCTTCAGAGGTCCCAGGTTCAATCCTGCCCACTGACGACTGGGGTCTGTCGGTGTTACATCTACACTTCAAATGCTGCAGCTGCGCCCCTATAGCACTTCAGTGTAGATACTATCCATGCCAATGGGAGTGAGAGTCAGTCGACTTAGTGCTGTCTACACCAAGGGTTAGGCTGGGACAGCTACATTTCACAGGGGTGGAGATTTTTCACACACAAGAGACATAGCTATACAGATGTAAAATCCTATGTAGACCAGGCCTTTGCGGGCTCAGATAAAAAGGCTGATCTACTCCAGGAACTTACATCGGCACAGCTATGGCCCTCTAGGGTTTGAAAAATCCACACCCCAACAAATGATGTACTTAAACGGACCTAACCCCCAGTGCAGGCAGCACTAGGTCGAAGGAAGAATTCTTGTTGACCTACCTATTGCATCTCGTGGAGGGGTAGCACCTACACCAACAAAAGAACCACTCCCATCAGCATACGTCATGTCTACACTGAAGTACTACAGGTTTCAGAGTGATAGCCATGTTAGTCTGTATCAGCAAAAACAACAAGGAGTCCTTGTGGCACCTTAGAGACTAACAAAGGTATTTGGGCATAAGCTTTCGTGGGCTAAAACCCACTTCATCAGCTGCATAGAATGGAACATACAGTAGGGATATGAAAAGATGGGAGTTGCCTTACCAAGTGGGGGGTCAGTGCTAACGAGCCAATTCAATTAAGGCGGAAGTGGGCTAATCTCAACAGTTGACAAGAAGGAGTGGAAATCACTTTTGTAGTGCTAATGAGGCCAATGTAAACAAGGTGGCCCACTTCAAATTTGGGCCAGATGAAGTGGGTTTTAGCTCACGAAAGCTTATGCCCAAATAAATTTGTTAGTCTCTAAGGTGCCATAAGGACTCCTCGCTGTTTTTACTGAAGCGCTACAGTGGTGCGCTCTAGTGCTTTAATTGCAGACATACCCTAATGCCTGGTCTACACTTTGAAATTAGCTCCGTATAACTACATCACTCAGGGATGTGAATAGCCACGCCCCTGAGCATTACAATCATACTGACCTAATCCCCCCATGAGGACAGCACTAGGTTGAGAGGAGAATTCTTCTGTTGACATAGCTACCACTTCTCAGGGAGGTGGAGTACCTACGCCCATTGGCCTAAGTAATGTCTTCACTGGAGTGGTTCAACTGTGCAGTGTGTTAAGTGTAGTTAAGTGCAGACTAACCCTAAGGGCTGGTCTACACTGGGGACGGGGATGGGGGGGAAGAAATCGATCCAAGATATGCAACTTCAGCTACGTGAATAGTGTAGCTGAAGTCGAAGTATCTTGGATCGAATTACCTGGGGTCCAGACGGCACGAGATCGATGGCCGCGGCTCCCCTGTCGACTGCGCTACCGCCGCTCGCTCTGGTGGAGTTCCAGAGTCGACGGTAAGCACTTTCGGGGATCGATATATCGCGTCTTAATGAGACACGATATATCTATCCCGGATAAATCGATTGCTACCCGCCGATACGGTGGGTAGTGAAGACGTACCCTTAGTGAGTAAACAACTCTTGTTAAATGGGGGGGAAATCCATGTGTATGCACAAAGGAGATTTATTCAAACCCTACCCCATATACATATACCTCAACACAATTTTTTTCCAGTCTATAGAGAGGAGAGTGTCTGACCTAGTAATTCCCTATCATATGTAAAGTTAACAGCCAAAATATTTAACGTTAGAGCTATTGAAAAATCTGATAAAGCTTTTTAAAGTTATGAAAACAAAATTTCTCCCCGTCCAGCCCCTTCTCAAAAACAGGCTACGTGGTGTTTACTGAAAAGTTTCTAAAACAAATTCACCCATTGACAGAAACTGTCAATCCTAAAGATGAACATAAAATGTGCCAGACTGGATCAGACTCAAGTTCCATCTAGTAATTCTGAGCATGTTATAAGCAAAGGAACTTCAAGCTGAAGTTGTGCAGCCAAAGAGCAGAATCCAAGGAACCACTCTGGAGGATCCCCCTGACACTGTTGCCAAGGCAGCACATTCCCCCAGCAGCACTGGACTGGCTTTTCCTCTCCCTGCCCCTCACCTTGTCCCAGGAAAGTCAATCTGCCTAGGTGCTGCAGGAAATGGGTCTGGGCAGGGTTAAGAGCCAGGAATGCTTCCTCCCGACTTATTGCTTCTGCTGGCCCTTCCAGTCTCTCTCCATCTCCCTTGGGCTGGGAGTCTAGGTCCTAGCATTCTTTTTTTTTATATATGGAGATATACCTATCTCATAGAGCTGGAAGGGATGTTGAAAGGTCATCAATCCCAGTCCCCTATTTTCACAGGGGGACCAGGTTCTGTCCCTGACAGATTTTTGCCTCAGATCCCTAAATTGGCCCCTTGAGGCTTGAACTCACAACCCTGGGTTTAGCAGGCCAATGCTCAAACCACTGAGCTCTCTCTCTCCCTCAAGCTCTCCTAGAGCTCGCTCGACTCCTGCAGGCGCTCAGGGTGGCAGAGCCTGGAGGGGTCAGAAAGGTCAGAAGCTCTGGGACTCGCAGACCCCCGCCCTTCCCCCCCCCCCCCCCGGGACGCAGAGCTGGGGCGAGGAGGGGCCGACGGTGCAGAGTCACGTTCCTGCCAGGGTGTATCAGCACAAACTGCTCTCGCTCCCGTTTTGCTACTTTGGGTGCACTGAGCATGCTCACTCGAACTGAGCATGCCCAGTAACCTTCGTTGTAGCCACTGCCCTCTCTCTGCCCTTACTTCTACTTACGATTTGCTGCCTCCTCTTTGGGGGGGTTTAAAAGGATTAAGGGGGGCAAATCGTATCGGGAGG